TAAATTACACCCAGTCAAGCAATCAATAGATAAAACAAGAAAGGTACCTAAGGTTTTGACAACTGTGAAGCTGGGGAGAACCCAGTCAGGCTGACAATGTCAAATCTCAATGTCCCCTCAGCCTGTTGATCTTCTGCCCAACCCCCTAATAAAATGGTTTGATGGGACAACAACAACAACAACAAAAGTACCTAAATTTATGCTTCAGAAAGTTAAAAAGGATCATTATGTAGATCATCCCGAGTTGCTAAATGATACTTCATGGAAGAATGACTCTCAAACCTACTCCTTAAAGGGTAAGAACTAAAGAATAGAACATATAGGAAGAGAGATTCCAAGTTTGGTTAATATGAATAAAGCTCCAAAGCCTGGAATGAATGTGGCCTGTTCAGAGAACTGTACAAAACTGGTCTATCTGGAACAGTGTACTCATTGGCAGGCAATGGCATATAAGATTAGCCAGGCATGGTGAGATCAGGTGAGGGAAGGCTCTGAAATCCAGGGTGAGAAATCTGAACTTGACAAGCATTCATGAGAAGGGAAAGAAACTGCTTTGTTCTGTTTTTGGTTTTTTGTGTTTGGTTTAAGATCATAAAATACTATGGCAGTGCAGATTTTGCCTGCCCTCTAAAATTGGCCCATGATTTCCTACTACCTTGCCCATGTTACATATTCTCAGACATACACCTCTCACTATTACCTAATGCCTCTACTCATGTTTGTACTGTTCCTACATCTCCCAACTGTGTGTCAATTACCCTTAAAAGTTCTTCAACTTAAAAAAAAGTTTTTAACTTCTGCATAATTTGTCCACTCTATACAATACTTAGTATCTACCCTGCAAATTAGGAAATTAAACATGCCGCAGGCAGTACATCCCCCAAGAAACTCACTCTTATGTAAACAGAAGCCAAGAACATAAACTAGCAAAGAGGAGAGAAATGCCTACAGTATCATAAGCGCAAAGGACAAGAGTTTGGAAATCAGGAAAAATAGAAACACCTAAGAGAAAGTATTAACTGGATTGAGGGTTTTTTTTTTTTTTAAGATTTTATTTATTCATAAGAGACACAGGCAGAGGGAGAAACAGGCTCCCTGCGGGGAGCCTGATGCAAGACGTGATCTGGGATCACCACCTGAGCCAAAGGCAGACCCTCAACCACTGAGCCACCCAAGCACCTCTGGACTGAATTTTGAAAGAAAATAAACACCAAAAGGTGGGGAGAAGTGGTAGGGATGACAGTGATTACAATCAAGACTGCAAAGGCTTAGCAAAGCGTGTCATACTCAGAGACTTACTCCATATGGCTGGATGAGTATGAGAAGAAGTAGTAAAGGACCAGATCAGGAACATGATTTTCTAGTGCTAAGAATTTTGTATCTTAGAATAATCAAAAAGACTTTTATGAAAGAATAACAAGTTCTCATTTCTGCTTCTTACGGAGTGCTCTGGTGGCAGTGGAAGATGGATTGAAAGGATATCAAAAAGCTTCCTCTTACCACAAAATGCAACAAAAATCTGATAAAGGCTGATATTAATATTCAACTTATCTGCAGTTATCCACTCCTACCCCTTTTCTAGGCCTTTTCATAAAGGCTTCCCCAACTCTTCCCCAACACGTTAATCTCAGAACTTCTAAGGCATGTCTGTCTGTACACTGCATTCTGTCACCACCTTACAATTTTAACTAATTTGCATTTAAACTTCTCTTCCCTAACAAGAAAACAAGATCCCTATGAAAAGATGCCATATATTTTTTGAATGTACATGTAAAACATGCATACACACATACACATACACCCCTCCATCCCATAGCACCAGGGCGGTAATACAACATTTTGAAATAGGTACTTCCTTTGAACTGAATACATGATCTCCTTTATCCATGAGTACAGATTCCACTATTCCCCATAAATAACAAATAAAATGTATGATTAAGGAAAATCAAGATGAGAAAAGTTAGTATACAGTAGTGGGGAATGAACACACTTCCTTTTCCAAGAAAATGAAAATGTTCTCATTTATGATAGGGGTGTGTTACACTGTTGTACTGCATTTACTTAAAAAATGTGTAATCGGGATCCCTGGGTGGCGCAGCGGTTTGGCGCCTGCCTTTGGCCCAGGGCACGATCCTGGAGACCCGGTATGGAATCCCACATCGGGCTCCCGGTGCATGGAGCCTGCTTCTCCCTCTGCCTATGTCTCTGCCTCTCTCTCTGTGTGTGTGACTATCATAAATAAAAACTTAAAAAACAAAAAAATAAAAATTAAAAAAAAACAAAAAAATGTGTAATCAAGATTTTTGTTTAATATATATAAATTTACCTAAAAATCTGTAAAAATAAGGGGTGGGAGCAAGGGGCTATAGATGAAAGATGAATGGCAGAAAATTGATGGTACTTCCTCAGTAAAGTGCCTAGGTGGTTCATTATTCTGCTTCTTTTGAAAAAACTGCATTAACAAAAAAAGTAACTCATAAATTGTAATTACTTATTCTCCTAATGTCTGGTATAATGTGATATTTAACTTTTAAAGTGGTTTTACTAGCTCCATTACCTTCTTGATTCTAAGGAATATCTTCTAAGACATATCTTCTAAGACAAACCTATTGTTAATAGCATAGATGAAAAAAGGCTAAGCAGCCACAGATTCCTTAATTAAGCACCAACAGGAAAATTAATTAGCCCTGTTAGAACCAATACCCAAAAATCCAGTAAAATATAAAGTTAGAATTTTCTAATCTTCTAATCTTCAAACTGTGCTGCCAAAGACAGCATCTGAAAGATACCCAAAAGTTTCTGGAAAAACAACACCTACAAAAATAGACTCAACACTATTCTGGATGGTTTTAAGATAATTCAATTATTTTACCTAGGTAATTCAAACTTCATGCTTATCTGTTCTTAATTTGCATTCTCCTCCCACAAGATATTTAATGTGGAAAATAAAGATTTTTCTCATTCATGCCAATATTGGCACAAGGTTAACAAACTTTTGTTCAGAGAAATTAACTGTTGCATAACTGAAACCCTCAAAAAGTCCTAAGTTTCTCAAAAAGATTTCTAAAGCATTTTACAATAAAATACAAGTGGAAAAAAGACCTAAAATTTAGTAAGACAGTTTCTATTACACTGTTTTGCTATTTCTCAGGAGATGATATTTAAAACTTTTCTTAAAATTACCTACACTCTTATAAATCACTAGCTATCCAAACTGTGACTGGAAGGGACATGAAGAGAGTTTCTGGGATGCTGATAATGTTCTTATCTGAGTGCAGATCTCATTACCCGAGTAAGTTCTATCTGTAAAAATTCTTCAAGCTCTACATTTATGTGTACTTTTCTACATTACATACATATTACACATGTAATACTCTGATAAAACAAAGTAAGCCTTGGCTGTTAGTGCTGTCCTCAAGTCCCCTACCTCATATTAAAACACCTGTTCTACGCACTAAAACATTTCTCTAATAAAAGATCGTTCAAAGTTATTTTATAACATTTAACATTTTCCGACATATTCCCAGATAACAAATAACTTCCATTTGCACCTGGGAGCTCAGAAAGTACATAATGGGGGGGGGGGTTGTATTTTCCAGAAGAAATCATTTTAAAAGCTACCTGAATAGAAACAGTAGTGAACTGGTACTGTACTGTCTGGACAAAGATGCAAATCATTTTCAACTTGGTTAATAACTGAATTTAAAAAGGAAAAGAAAGACTCCTGCTTCAGATCTTAGTAAGATAAGGAAGACAGGAGGTTAGTAAAAGCTAGACGTTAAGGCTAAACATTAAGATTCTCTCGAGGTTGGGCGGGGGGCGGGGGGGTTGAGGTGACTGGGTGACGGGCACTGAGGGGGGCACCTGGCGGGGTGAGCACTGGGGTTACGCTATATGTTGGCAAATCGAACTCCAATAAAATATAATAATAATAATAATAATAATAATAACAATAACAATAATAAAAAGATTCTCTCCAGCAGCCTGGGTGGCTCAGCAGGTTAGCGCCGCTTTCAGCCCAGGGCGTGACCCCGGGGTCCCGGGATCGAGTCCCAAGTCGGGCTCCCTGCATGGAGCCTGCTTCCCCCTCTGCCTGTGTCTCTGCCTCTCTCTGTGTGTCTCTCATGAATAAATAAATAATAATTTTTTAAAAAAATTTTTAAAGATTCTCTCGAGGAGGAAGAAGTGGAGTACGATCAAAAAGGATCTCGATCCTCAGGTAAATCAGTCTCACCCTCCACCTGAACAGGCCAGGGGAGGGAACCAATCAGCCTTTCCGCATGAGATGCCAGAGAGTTCAAAGACCTACGAGCAGGGAACGTCGTCGCTTCGCCAAGCAATCCTCCCGGATGCACCCAGGAGGGTTCACACGTGCCATGCTCTCGCCTTTGCCTTTCGACAGCGAGTACTCGGGAATCCTGCCAAAGCCCATCCGAGCGACTGAGGCCACCCGGACTCCAGCCTGGCGAGTCCAGTCCTCAGCCTCGAGTCACACAAACACGTCCACAGGGCAAACCGACGGTCTCTCGGGGGGCGGGGGGGTGAGGTGACAAAACTAGAACATCCCCAGAAAGTTGACAGAGGAGGTGGGCTGGGGTGGGGGGCCGGGGGCGGGGGGCGGCGACAGCCTCGGGGCAGAGGCGCAGATCTGCGAGCGGGCGCTGGGGCAAGAGGCCAGGCCCGCAGGGTCAGAGGGAGACGGCGTCGGGGGCGCCGGGAACGAGGCCTGGGGGCAAGAGGCACAGGCTCCCCGCGGGAGCGGGCGAAAGAGACCTCGGCGCGGGCAGAGCGCGGGGTGCAGGGGACGCGGCGGAGCTCGGCGCCGCGGGGAGACGCGCACGCCCCGACCTCTGAGCCTGGCAGCAGCCGCCGCCCGCGCCCCGAGCGCCTGACCCCGCCGGGCACGGGGAGCCGTCCGCCCGGCGCCAGGCGAGGAGGCAGAGCGCGCCGGCCGCGCCCGCTCGGGCCCGGGAGGGGAGCGCGGCCCAGGGCCTTCTTACCCGTGCAGGCCGAGGGCGCGGTGCCTCCGGTGCAGCAGGCAGAGCAGCAGGAGCGCGGCCCCGGCCAGCGTGGAGTTTCGCGCCGTCAAGTACTTGCTGAAGGCCGCCATAGAAGCGCCCGAGCGAGCGAGTCGGGAACGGGGCCGCGGCGGCTACGACTGCCCTCAGCGCAGGAAGCGCGGGGGAGACTGGGAGGAGAGGCGCGCGCGGCGGGTGGGCGGGGCCGGCCGCGCAGCCCCGCCCCCCGGCGCGCGCCGCCGCCGCGTCGCCCGCGCGCCGCAGCCCCCACCGACCGCCGCCGGGCGGGAGCGCGCGCGGGCGCCGCGGAGGCCGTCTGCGCACGCGCGGACCCCCGCAGGGCCGGGCGGCGGCGGCGGCGGCGGCGGCGGCGGGTCTTCAGCCTCCGTGGCTCGCGGTTGCCCCGGCCTCACCCCTACTCCCACCTGCGCGCGCGCCCGGAGCCGGGCTTTCACGGGAACTGGAAGAGCCGGCCTACCCGCCCCGGGGGCCCGGGGGCCTGCCGCTCCGCCCCCCCACCCCGGAGGCCCCCTCCCACCCGGGTAGGGCCGTTACCACCCTCTTAAAGGAGCGCGGGGACAGGGCAGTGAATGGCCCCATCCCGGAGCCCGCACGCAGAGCGGAAGGCGCAGGGACCGTGTGGACGAAAGCGTCCTTCGGGACCGCGGAAGAGGTGCAGGGAGGTGCAGGGAGACGCGGGAAGAATGGCCTTGCAAGTCGAAGACCTTTCTCCAAGCCAGGGTTCTTTTAGACTATGGCTTATTATCTCTAGGGGATGGTGGGATGAGACCGGTAGATGGAGACCACCACTTTGTGTCGAGAGAGAGAGAGAGAGAGAGAGAAACCGGTTAAGAACAGAAGAAAATGGAAAAATCTCACAGTGCGTCACGACTAAACGAGTTGTTTCGAGAAGATTTATCTGTGTGTCCAGAGCGGTGATACAGAGTCTATTTCTTTAATGTGGCTCTGATCAAAGTTTGAGAAACATTGTTCTCTTTTGCCAAGGAACATTTACAAGTAACAATCGTGCGTTGTGTGGATGCTGGCCTTCCTCCCAGAATCAGAAGGGCATTACAGATTACAGCATTCTTCTGGCTGGCCCTGTGCTGCAGAAATCGTTATCCCCAGCATTGAGACGAGCATGTGGACAGGAACTTAGTGAATCCTTATCTTCAGCTGAAGAAACTGGAGGAAAGTATCAGTCAGAACATAAGTACATAAAACCTTGCATAAAGTATCAGTATCTGACTGAAAGTATCAGTCAGAACATAAGGACATAAAACCTTGCATAATACATACTCATGTTAAAGTAGCCCACGGAACAGTGGTTTCCTAGGTGTTTTCTCAATATAAACTGGGAGTTGCCTAATACAGATCACGAGAATCACAAGGGGGGTGTGTGTGTGTGTGTGTGTAGAGGTGTTCAACTGTCTAATTTTTGCTAAAGTGAAGCTGTTACTAAATTCTCCATCTACCAGGTGAATCTTTTCATTACCTCATTCAACAGTTAGGCAATTTGGTGTGCACGGAGGATACAGAGATAAACAGATCACAACACCTGTTCTCCAAAGGCTGGTAGAGGAGGAAAAATATGAAAAAATATATATAAGTATGCTAAGTGTCGTATTAGAGGTAGGAACAAAGCACTATGACAGCATGAAAAAAGAAAATGCTTAGTTTTGTCTAGAACTTTCTTTTAGAGCTTCACAGAAGATGATTTTGTAGCTAAATCCTAAAGGGCAGAGAAAGAGCTATGCAGGAGGACGAGAGATAATTAATAAGTCATCAATAAATTCCATAGTAATGTAAAAGTGTTGGGAACCATGGAAGAATTTGTGTCATCTTGGAGTTCGTAGCAATGAAGGAAGAGTATGCAAGTTTTGAGGAAAGATATATTTAGGAAATAGACTATAGTTCAGAGAAGAAATAACAATGACCCCTTGGGCAAGATGTTCTAAAAGGCACCTGCACCCTAAGGTTTATAGCAACAATGTCCACAATAGCCAAACAATGTAAAGAGCCCAGAATGTCCATCAACAGATAAATGGATAAGGACGTGGCATCTATACACACACACACACACACACACATAATGGAATATCAATCAGCCATCAAAAAAATGAAATCTTACCATTTGCAATGAAGCGGATGGAACTAGAGTGTATTATGCCAATCAAAATAAGTCAGAGAAAGACGGTTATCATATGATCTCACTCATGTGGGATTTAAGAAAACAGGATCATAGGGGAAGGGAGGAGGGAAAAATAAAACAAGAGGAAATCAGAGAGGGAGACAAACCATGAGAGAAATCATAGGAAACAAACTGAGGGTTGCTGGAGAGGAGGGAGGTGGGGGGATGGGGTAACTGGGTGGTGGGCATTAAGGAGCACTTGTGGTGTAATGAGCACTGGGTGTTATATAAGAATGTTGAGTCACTGACCTCTACCTCTTAAACTAACAATACTCTGTATGTTAATTAATTGAATTTAAAAAAATTTTAAAAAGGTGCCCATGTTCAAGAAGAATGGGTGATTCTAAAAAAAAACTGGAATTAGTTAATGTTAGTTCAAATAAGTTCAGCTGTTCATAAAATCCATCAGGTAAAGATCACTACGGGCAAACCTGTAACACAACAAAGTTAAGTTTATAAACTTGCTACAGAAACAATAGCACACAGCAGAGGAATTATGGGCATGTCTCAAAAAAAAAAAAAAAAACAAGAAAAGGAAGAAATGGAAGTTATCATAGTATTAGAAGAAGGGAGGAGTTTAGGTAGACTCTAAATGAAACACTATTTAATAGCCTTAGAGCAAATCAGATCTATATATAAAGGGGTTAATATCAGATCTGAGTTGAGAAGCATACTCTGGGTTCTATTCCCTTGGAAACATAAATTCAAGATGAATGTAGAATATTATGTCTTGAAAACCCCTTATCTAAACCTCTGCAGTGTAAATTGAGGCTGCTTCTCCAAGTCAAAGTGATCTACCTGTATGGTTTACGTCTCCCAGGTATGAAAGATATGTTGTCTCACTAATACGATTTTAAAATGACAGAGTTTCTGACAACTTAAAGTTTTAGAGAACAAAGTTCCTCAGCACTATGTGCTTTGATAATGAACCAAAACAAATTTTCAGGTTCACAGTAATAGTTAATAATTAAGAAAAATGTGATCTTATTGGAAGATGTCCACAAGCTCTGGTTTTTAAATCTTATTTAACAATTAGGCAAGTTGGTACGCACAGGACGGGACAGAGAGAAGAGAGGCACGGTGCTAGCCAGCCTCCAGCATCGTCCCCAGTGATCCTCGCTTTCTGGTATTTGTGCCCTGTGTAATCTCCCTCATGTGAGGATTGGTCTGTGTGACCAAAAGAGTGTGGTGAAGGTGACAGCATGTGACTTCTGAGACCAGATCATAAAAGGAATTGTGGCCTCCACCTCGGTCTCTTGGATTGCTTGCTCTTGGTGAAGCCAGCTGTCACAAAGCACAAACAGCCCTAGAGAGGAACTGAGGACTACCAGCAAGGGCCAGCACTTGTTGACCAGCTTTGGAAGCAGATTTTCCGTCCCCACAGATAAATGCAGCCTTATGAAAATCCCAAGCCAGAATGTTCTGCCAAGATGCTCCTAAATTCCTGACTCATAAAAACAGTGGGAGACAATAAATGTTTACCATTGTTTTAAGCCACTAACTTTGAGGGTAATTGGGTAAGCAGCTGATGTGATTTGGGCCACCTTCAAAAAAATAGATGGGAGAACGGGGCTTTAGGAGAAGACATAACAGGAGCAAAGATACAGACACAAGGAGGTACAAATATGATTAAGTCTGGTGTTGGATAGAGGTTCATGAAGGGGTGTGAAATGAGACAAAAGCTTGAAATGTTTAGTGGAGGTCAGTTTTTGGACGATCTAAAACACCCAGCTAACCAGGCGAGATTTTATTCTGCGTGTAAGAGGCAGGAGTTCAGGTTTGGAGGAAGAGTAGTGACCTCAGCTTTTATTTAAAGAGACCCTGCCAGTGGCAATGTGTAGGATGGTTTGAAGGAAGAAACATCAAGCAGAGAGACCAGTCTGGACACTCTTGAAATAATCTAGGTGAAAGATCGTCAACACTTGAGTCAGGCAGCACAGAGCAAACAGGTAGGAAAGCATTTTGTAGATTCAGATTGGATGAGGATGATGAGACTGCTATTTAATGGTTAAGGAAAATTTTTAATTCACACTGAGATTTCCTGATTGAGCACTGGAGAGGATGATATTATATACCTGAGGACAGGGGCACAGAAGTGAAGCATTCTTGTCAGGGAAGATAATGAGATACAAATGAGTAATTCCTCACTAGTTCCTCATCACCAAGGTAAACTCCAAGATCCTTAGCATCGTATACAAAGCTACTTGTGGTATCCTCCCTGCCTGCCTCTCTGAATCCCTTTCCTGACATGCCTCCCCATGTATTCCACCTCCACCCCAGGAGATAAATGTACACTGCTATTCCCCTCTGTGATCTTCCCTAGAATATTCTATTCCTTCTGCCTGAAATCCAATCCCTTCCTGTCCTAACATCACTCCTAACTCAGTTCATCCTTTAAAATGAAACTTTGGGGATGTCTGGGTGGCTCTGCGGTTGTGCATCTGCCTTTGGCTCAAGGCCTGATCCCAGGGTCTGGGGATTGAGTCCCACATCAGGCTCCCATGCCAGGAGTCTGCTTCTCCCTCTGCTTCTCCCTCTGCCTATATCTCGGCCTCTCTCTGTTTCACTAATGAATAAATAAAATCTTTTAAAAATAAATAAAATGAAACTTTGATGGTCTCCTACTCCAAACTGTCTTCTCTGACCACATTCCCCAACCCCCTACTTCCTGCCAAGTTAATCACTTCCTTCTTTGTGCCGCTTCTGTCTCAAATATAATTCTATTAATGGATAGTAGGGTGTTTCTTAATAGAAACTGGTATTCACTGACAAGGTAAACACCTCAAGTTACCAAGAAAAATTCATCTTTTTCATCTTTGCTTAAAAAAGAATCACTTGTTGGTAGGTTGCATTGTTGGTAGGAATACAAATTGGAGCAGCCACTGTGGAAAACAATGTGGAGTTACCTCAAAAAATTAAACATAGAACTACCCTATGATCCAGTAGTTGCACTTCTATTTACCCAGAAAACCCCACCAAAAACATTA